GAACTGCATGAAATAAGTAGGCAGTGCCTTATTTGAGGAAAAGAATCTTTGCATAAAGAATGTCAATCACTTAAATGCCCATTGTCATCATTTCTGCTTTGTAAAATCAGAGCTATTTATACATTAGCTATGAGCCAACCACTATGTTTTGGTGTAGTTACGTTTAGGGCTGCACTTCTTCTAGGGGTGATTGGGTCGTTAGTTTGCAGTCCATGGTATTCTCAGTGTTCTACACCAACAAGGCAGCAACTCCACTTCAGTATTCTTTCTTCATTGTCCAGCGTTCACATGAATATTAGGGGAATGAATACACTGTGGGGTATTCGTTGGTAAATATGATATATCTCTGTACAACAACACTAACAAATGCTTAGTTTATTCCATTCTCATAATATTGCTATGCTTCAGCCCATTGTCTCAACCAATGTATCCATTCATCTTCTTTGAACAGAACAAGGGAATGCTGTGTGGTTGACAGGCAGGAAGGATGTGCATCAGGCTTGTGTGCCTTCACTGTACTTATTCCATGTGTGTGCTGAGCCAATAAACCTGCAATCTGCACATGTCAGTATATTGTTTGCTGAAAGGGAAAATGGCATGCCGCACTTACTGATGAAAAACAAAGACCACAGTCTGCAGGGTGCATTGCACCTCAACCTAAAGAAATCTAAGAAACTCATCAGTGGACCAAGAAGCAGCATCTTGATTAATGGAGAAAAACATTGAAGCCTTCAAAGATTCCATTGGATTGGATCCATAATCAATAGCCACAGAAGCAGCAGTCAGGAAATGAGATGTTCTCGCACGGGGCAAACCTGCTGCAAAGGACCTTCTGAAAGTGTGGAAGAGCAAAGATGTCATGTTGAAGACTAGGGTGTGCCCAGTCCAAGCCATGGCAAATTTACACACTTCATGTGCATGTGAGACTGAAGAATGAAGAGAGAAAACCGAAGAGTAGTTGCTGCCTTGTTGGTGAAGAATACTGAAAATACCACGGACAGCCAAACAACGACCCAATCGGCCCCAGGAGACGTGCAGCCTTAATGCTCCTTGTCAGTGAGAACGGCCAGGCTTGGCCTCAACTTCTTTGATCATGTTTTCAGAAAAGGACATTCCTTGGAGAATGACATCAGGCTTGGGAAGGTGGAGGGTCAGTGAAAAAATGGTAAGACCCTCAAGATAATGGATTGACAAAGCAGGTGCTGTGATGGACTCAAGTACAAGGATTGTGAGGATGGTGACCACCCTGACAGTCATTCTTCTCCTTGCTAGGAGCTGGAGCCAAATGGATGGCACCAAAGGACACAACAACAGCAACACCAAAATTAAAAAACAGAATTGTTTATTTATTTATTGGAGGCCTCCCTTTCTCAATGCCCACCATTCAAAGACTTACAGTGTGATTTCATTGGGGAAAAATTAGATATGATTTGGATGAGTCACAGCTTTGCCTTCAAAGTGACCTGTTTGCTGTTCAACACTTTAAAGCTGTTCATAAGGATGAAAACAAACAAAAACCGAACTCGCTGCCGTGGAGTTGATTCCTACTCGCGGCAACCCCATCTTGTGTTCCAAGGCCCCAATCTCTCCAGGACGGCACACCAAGGCTTATTTCTGAGTAGTAGCTGGTGCGAACCACCAACCTTGTGGTTAGCTGTAAAACGCCTTGGGCATCACAACAACATAGCTTCTCCATAAGGATTCCAGCCTCAGAAATCCGATGGGGCCTTTCCACTGTGTTGTATACAGTGGCTGTGGGCAAAACCTACTCAGTGCACTGTGGGGGTTTTTTGGCTGAAAGTTGGATGGCAACAAATAGAATTATATCACTAGATTTCATAGGTTTCAGCAAGGGTTGCCCAATCTGTCCAAACACCTCAGTGTAGCAATCAGCACCGGTGCAGAGAGGAGAGCTGAAAATGTGTAAATGGGCATCAGGGAGACACCACAGAAGGAAAACAGTACTTGGAAGAGTCCAATGATGGTTGGCACACCCCAGCTGGTGCATCGACCCCCTCTGATGAGTCATCTCCCCAAGCAGGTTGAGCGATAGGATCTTGCATGCTTAATGAGGGAACACAAGGGAAAGGTATTTAAGCGATGGGGT